GTATGTACTGAGAGAACTGTTGATGAACTGATGATGTATAATGTGTATCTGAGAAACTTCTGTTATTCTTCAGTCTGCTTCACTTCAATAAATAAGTTCTGTTTTTTCCGTTCACAAGACAAGTGTTCTGACATACGTCAATTAAATTGTGGACTGAAGTAATCCACTGGTGGCAGCGAGAAGAAAACGCAACGTGAGCCTTTGTGAGGGAAAAACAAGCAGGGGCCATGAGGGTAAACGTCACAACATTGTAAACTATGAAAGCAATATTATGATAGTAGCCAATATGGTACACTAAAATACACATATGATTGGTTCAACTGCTTAAAAAATGTATAGATTCTGAAGGGACAGTTAAGAAGACACCAAGACACAAAAACAAATAATTATAAGCAACCCATACAACACAATGTTTAACAAGCACCAATTGAATGTAGATATATTGAAAAATTAATAAAATATTATTTAAAAAAGAAAATAATACAGCCAACATGATAAAGGCACTGTACGAAATCCTGTTAAGGGCGCATCTGGAGTATTGTGTACACCTCAAAAAAAGACATAGTGGAATTGGAAAAGGTGCAGAAGAGAGTGACTAAAATGATGACTGGGCTGGGGCACCTCCCTTATGAGGAAAGGCTACAGCGTTTGGGGCTCTTTAAGAACTTTTCCACTTGAGAACCACCTTCCAATACGGATTAAGTTCTTAAGTAGAGACCCCACTGTAATGAAAATGGTTCACATCAGCTGGGGAAAGAGGGAGGTCTTACACAGAGAGGATAGCCAGTTCTCCTCCATGACTTCCTGGTGCAGCGCCTTCTGGTCAGGATCCAGCAGTGCCCACTCCTCCTGGGTGAAGACCACAGCCACCTCCTCAAAGGCCACTGGACCCTAAATGAAAAAGACAGCAGGGGTTTCTGATAAAGAGAACCTCCTAAAGCCAAAACAAGAAATAAAAAGAAGGGCTGGATCTTACATTGCAGGTTTTAACCTTCTTCAATGCCCTTCACAGCCTTTCTATAAGAGGACAAGTTTATGAATGGCTACTAGTCCCCTTGGCCATGTGCTCTCTGTTGGTATGATTTTTAAAATAGTATATAAAATGTAACTGAAAGAGTTTGTGTTGTGGTTTTGAGAGTTATGATAAAAAAAGAAGAAAACAGGAGGCAGAAAGATCTAGTAAAAATGAGACAATAGGGACAGGAATGTAATTCCTGCAGTCCCCATATTCATTCAAGAAAAAAACCTCAAACAACTCACAGAACATGGACTATTTTTCAAAAGTGATGAGAAACAATATTTTCCCCATTTGCATCAGCCGCATATAATAGGTAGTGCTATTCCCCGCATGGAGAGGACCCTGTCATACCAGCCAGGTACGTAAGCACTGCAAATGTGGAGCATTTCATTAAAAAGAAACAACCAGCTTCATTCAGGGAATACACTGGGATTCAAATATACAAGGCGTCTTTTAATTGCCTTCTCCCTACCTGATCTGGTTCTGAGCCATCACAAGGAAGTGATGCTGAAGTACTTGGTGCTGGCATCCTTCTTCTCCCTATGGAGAGACCAAAGGGGTGGGAAGTCAGTCATATGAGCTTGTGTCAAATTAAGACCATAATCCTAGAAACAGTAGCTAAAAATTAAATCCTCTGAGTTTGAGAGAATTCACATGACAGACCACCCATGGAGAAACACCCAGCACACACTGAATCCTATTTCTATTTTTGCCAAGCAAGGTGTTAAAAAAGCAAAGCAGAAAGGGGAACTCTCAAGGTGCTCCCTTCCATTTACCCCTTATCTTTGGTAAGAAACAGAGGGTTCCTAGGCAAGTCCCTTGATAGACTGAAGGCTGAAAAGCTGCTATTATCTGAGAACCATAATCAAGTATTTCTTCTATATTGTTTTACAGAAAACGTTTCCCTCTGGGCTTCACTGCTTTAGAGATCAAGAAATTACACCAGATTTTCAGAATTTGTAATTACCCAGTTTACAAATGCAGGTAGTATGGCATTTCCAGGCTGTCCTAAAGATCATTTCAAGAGGAGGTGGAGCTGATCAATGGCCCTTGAAGGGCAGATGAGCATATATTTCCCTTTGAAACCACAATTTTTAAAAAGGGGCAGTCATCATGTGACAGGCAGGCTGCATGTGGCAACCCAAAACTATTGTTTGGCTCTCAAAATTATCCTGTAAGAAGAGGGGAAAAACCTGCCCAGTTTTACACTCTGCAAAAGTCAAACTGCAACTCTAGCAGACATGATTCTGCTCAGAAGCAACGTGCATGATCCTGCAGTGATATTCTCTCCTTGGGAGTAAGTGAAATCATTTTGGAAGCAAGCAGGTCAGACTGACCCCCTCCCTTTCCAGTCTGCCTTGCATGCCCCCTAAATGATCTCCACCATTGCATAACCCACTGCCGGATCATGATCAGGCTTGCTTATTCTATGGTTGTACCTCTGAAGTCCTGGGTCCAGAATCGCCTCAGGTAGCTGAGAATACAAAATGGTTAGAAGCGCGTAAGAAGAAGACCATAAAAATTAAGTTCTGTCCCCCCATATCTGCCTTTCATAAAAACCTTTTAACCCTGAATGCCCCTTTTTTGGGAAAGAGGTGGCCTATAAACAAAACAAACAAATCAGGCTTTGTCACAAACAGAAACAGTCTCCTCTCTGCCTTAGGAACCCTGTCCTGAAATGCACTGAAAACATCAGACTTAATAAAAGTTACTTTTTTGGATTGCAACGCCTGGTGGGTTGTCTGAGACAATGCTTCTATGCTTTCACAGAAAGAAAGAAAGAAAGAAAGAAAGAAAGAAAGAAAGAAAGAAAGAAAGAAATGTTGTTTAATGGCAGTGTTAGCTGAATAGCTCGGTGGTTTGGGGCTCTCAAGGTAGAGCCTGAGGTCGGAAAAATCAGTTCCCCACAGTTCCTCCAAGGGGAAGAGACAGTCCGGGTATCCTTGGGGGAAGCTACACGGTCTCCAAAATACCCCCCCCCCCCCCCGGTTAAAAGGGAATGGGAAACCATGTCTATGTATTCTCTACCTGGAAAACCCTGGAAAGGTTCATCATAGGTCAGAACCAATCTGATGGTGAGAAAATCCCTCTCACTGCACCTTTGGAATATAACCATATACGTTTAGAATTGAGTCCTTCCTTGAAAAGGGACACCGTAAGCCAGAACTGACTTGGCAGCACGTTGTTGTTGTTGTTGTTGTTGTTGTTGTTGTTACTATTGCTATGTGACTGAGGAGGATGGAGGGGAAATCCAAACCAGGGTGATCAGGAAGTGGCGGGGTTTGAAACCTACATCTCTGCTGCTTGCACCTGCCTTTTTCAACTCGCCTTTAAGAAATAGACTTGGCACAGAGATATCTGCCAAAACCTTTTTTTTTTGGAGGGAGGGCAGGGACTCCCCTAATATACCGGTGCACAGCCTGATGAAAACTGGCTTCGGTCAAAAGGTAGGTGTATTTGGGTGTTTCTTTTTTCCTTTTTAAGGATCCGATACAGGTCTCCCCTGCCCTTAACCTTTGTTTCTCAGATGCTTTTGAACTGCAACTCCCAGAAACCCCAGCCAGCACAGTTGGTGGTGAAGGATTCTGGGAGTTGCAGTCCAAAACTCCTGAGTAACCCAAGGTTAAGAACCAGTGCTCTAGACAAACAAAAAGGTGGGTTGCCCCACTTTGAGCCTCAAGTCGGAGAAGGAAAGCAAATGGGGGGGGGAGCGCGAAGGAGGCTCTCTTGCTCTTTTTCACCCCCCTCCCTCCTGGATGTTGGATTTTTTTGGGGGGGAAGGAAGCCCCCCCCCTCCAAGCAGGGGCTTAAAAGAGGAACCCTGGATTCTTCTGGCCTTGGGGGCCTTGCATTTAAAGTAGTGCTGGGGGGTGGTGGTGGTGGTGGGTCTCCCTTCTCCCAAGGGTGGGGTCTTGGCCCTGAACATTTCCCCTCCCCCCGCCCAGAATAAAATCCCCCAGGCGGGAGACGCAGACACAGGCCTGCCTTGCAAGGCGATTGTGCAAAGCCAAGCCCCTGGGGGGGGGAAGGGCGCTTTGCAATCCCCATAGAACGGAGAAGCCCTGGGGGGTGTGGGGTTTTAAACCCTCCCCAAATC